TGACGATCTTGCTCGTTTTGCTTTGATTTCTCACCATTATTCGCCACTTATAGCGACTGTTGAAATAATAGAAATAATAAATATTTGTTTTTACATTTTATATAATTTAATTAAATAACATAAATAATATAAATTAATTGAGCGATAATTTACGTTTTACAGTGGACTTAAACATATGTTATTTTATAATTTTGATAAAAAAAATGCACATAATATTCAGAATAAAATATATAGTATTTTTGAAAGTCAAAAACTAAGTTTAATTTTAACAATTATAAAACATTATAAGTTCAAAAACGTGTTATGTTATTGTTATTAGTGTAATGGAAATACATTGCAATATTATTTATTGATAAATATTCTTCGTCAACTGTTTTATTTTTTTTTTTAATAATCGAATCTAATATGTAAAAACTGCTAAAACTGCATTATTTTGAAACTGACAAGATATCCTTTAAGTATTTTAATTGTACGAGTACATCAATATTTAATCGAACATCAATATTTGAGTGTTACTAATCACAGTTTATATTGTTTTAAAATAATTTTTTCATTAGTTCTTAATGAAAGTGCTACAATTCTCGTTCTGGAATATTAATCAAATGTTGAGTATTAATTTTTTTATAACACTAATTTAGGTATAATCTATAATGAAGTTATAAGTATATTATTGTAAACGAAAATGGAATAGAATGAATAATAACAATTTAATTTCACAGAAAGTAGCAAGATTTTTAATTTTTTAATATTTATTATCCTAATGTTTGAATGTTCCTAATTGAATGTTTCTATAATCTTATAATTTTATTATGAATAAACGATAAACGTTAAAACTATTCCTATAAAGTACCATCTGAGTCCTATTTTTTATTGGAAAAATTGCACATATTACTTTTGGTACAAATTTATTTCTGGAAAATGAAGATATAGAATTAAAAAAAAAAATGAATAGTATATTTTCAATATATAGACCTATACATTGTCTACTTTACTCAATATCAAAAGTATTTTTAAATTTAATTTTCTATTAATAAATTTCACTATCGTATCTATTGGTTGACATTTTTAATATCTATCGTAGATAATTACTAAAACGGCGTCATATATAGGCAAAATTACTACATAACTGTGTTGAGGGACTATTATTCTATTTTTTTTTCAATTATTTATGTTATAATAATTTTATTCTAATAATTTTTAAGTAACAAGTGTATCTCATTTATAAAACTTGATATATTCTTGGAAAAATTTGATTCATATTAACGATTAATACAATCAAATAATTGCATATTTACCTATTATCGGTTAAATGGCTATTTGGTGTAAGCGACACATTTCATACTTTTCATAAGAACCAAAAAACAATTTAATTTTAATTTTTATTTTCAAAACGAAATAACTTTTGTAGTTTTATAGATAGTCCTTCAATTTTTTTCAAATAAACCTATTATATTATTATATTATAAATTTAATTTTATAAGAATATATTAATTTTTTGATTCTTTTGTACGTATATAAATTATATTTTTGACATTTACCACATTTTAATTTGCTTTCTTGCACTTTTGTCGATTACGTAATTTACTAAAAAACTGCTGCAAATGCCATCCAAAAATGAAATTAAGTAACACACGCCCACGTAATTATGAATAATATATCAATATAATCAAGTTTTTTTCTTAATACATTTGAATTAAATTCACTATTATTTTATTATTTATTATAATATTTATATATATATATATATATTTTTTTTTAAAAATATTATTTTATTAAAAATAAAAATTAACAAAAAAAAATTTGTTAAGTGGAAATAAACAAGATATTACAAGTAGATCAATAAAAATAAACAGAATACAACTCGTTAAATAAAATTAACAAAATATTAAAGTAACATTGAAATACAATAAAAAAATTCTTTCCAATTTTTATCAAAATTAAAAAACAACAATTCTTAAATACTGTTGCCTCATGTGATCCACGTTTTCTTTATCAAATTCGATAATTATTTTATTATCATCAATATAAAAAATAATAATTGTTATCATATATTATTCTGAGGTTTAAATCGTTATAAATCAGTTCGTTCGAGCTGTCACAATTATTAAAATTAAATTGAAATAATCTAAAAATTGTTATCACTTACTGCATTTTTTATTATTAATTAGATACTTCTTATTTGTATAAGTGACGGATTAAATTGCTATAAACGACAATATCGCATACAAGTCATTATTAAAAAAAAAAAAAAAATTGGGCACCTAACACAAAATGTTTACGTCGCTTACTTTTCACTAAATTAATTAGAATGTTATCTAAATTAAATTCATACAACACTTTTTTCATATATATCGTTTACAGCACAAAGTTTGGCACATTATAAGATAATGATACACTATAATGAAAACTACTATCCATATATCCAGTATAGTCTTCTACAACACTAAATTGCAAGTATCGCTTACAGCAAATCGGCTTTTAACCGACGATATAAATACCAATCTAAGTAGTTAATATGTTAAACGTAGAAAAAATAACTTTAATCAGTCATATAATTCAAATTATAATATATAAAATTATACAGATTAAATTTAAAATATGTATTGTGAATTTCAAACATTTGATATGATTAAGCAATTAATAATGTAGTAATAAATTAATGCTAAAGGATGCATACTATTTGAATGCTTAGCATTCCACGAGTTTTAATAATTATATTTAAATTTTAATTTTTGAAACGTGGATGGAAAAATGTTTAAAACTAACATATAACCATACGTGACCGTGTTAGTTATGTAATATTTACCATTTAATGACTGAATCTTGCATTGTTTCTAAAATTAAAATAAATAGGTTTTTTGAATATATTTTCCACCACCCTTAAAACAAACATGGACATAAGTGTAGAGATGTTAAAAACATGATTTGTATAACCGACTGACACAATGTTTGAATTTAACTAAAATGATAATCCTCCAAAACAATAACGACATAGTACCTTCTATTTATTAATCATTGTAATCAAAAGTCTGTTATAAATAGATGTATTAATTTTTTTCATCTAAAGTTAAACTATGACATTTTGTTTTTTTAAAAAAAATCGTTGATATTTCTAAAAAAATAATAATAATAAATAAATATAATCAGGATAACGCAAATTTTTCTTGAAAATAAAAGGCTGTTTAATGGCTGTGCACTTTTTATTGAAAAATGTTTAATTAAATACCAATGTCTAGATAAATTTCATAAAAATTATATACTGCATTTTTATTTTTATATCCTTATTAAATTATTTTGTTTTTTTTATACTAATCGCACTGCTCCAATAGAAATAATTAGCTTAGAAAAAACAATATGCATAATATTATTCAATATCTTTCATATTCTGGACTAATATTTCTGTAATATTTATTAGATATGTAATATCTATTTATTATTATATTATTAAATATGTAATATTTGTTTGATTTATTCATTTAACGGATTTTTTATTTTAAACATTGCGTCTTATTTTCATACTATGTAATTTATATGTAATTTTAATTATAATTCGTAATTAATTAAAACTATATAATTGAATTTAACTAAAATATGGTTTTATTATTAATTTTTAAAATATAAATTAAATATTTCATAAAAAACGATGCATTTTATTCTTAAAAAAATGTAACCTCTATAAATTTAGTCGGTTGTTAAAAATAAATCATCTCTTATTTCGAACATAACACACATTGAAGACCACTAAAAATAATTGAGAATGGAACGAGATCTACATAGAAAATTAAAAAAATATTGTAATACTACTTTTAATGTTTATATTTATGTGTACTACAAAGATTATATGAATTCATATGATTTCTAAATTTGCGGTGGAACGTTTTGCTGATTGGTATTACTAACCTTGCGAAATCCTGTTAGTACCATCTAAAACGATTTAAATAGAAGTAACTACACAAATAGTAATAGTATTTTGGACACAGTATATAGTTTTGGAATGATTGTAAATAATGCCTTTTACAGTAAATCATTAATGACGGAAAAATAATGTTTCGGAGATTGGGTAAATAGCCATTTTTAAAAATTCATGTTATTCATAAAAACATCAAACATGTTTTTTTATACGCTTATACGTAGATAATATATTACCCATGCATAACTCAATTTAACTGAAAATGAGATATCACGTGAGCGAAGCTATAATAGAGAGCTTTGGAAAAAGATAACGCAATCGAAGTACTATATTTATGTATTATTACCTGAGATGAAAATGTATTGAACCTACTATAAAGCTTAATGTGAGAGTGGTGGGCGATCATAAGAAGACTCAGTCCTTTTACATCTCATATCATTTAAAAAAGGTTCCTTTAACATTTCTCTGGAAAGTTCACTGGAATATTTAACTCTTTAGTCAAAATAATCACCCAAATTATGAAATAGTAACATAGTTAAAAATAAAAAAATATTTTGTGATTAACAATTATTATTACATCTCGTTATCGATCGACTAAAATTGAAGAACAGAAAAAAATAACTAACTCATATTAAATAATTATTACATAGACGATATTGGGACAGACTAGGTTTTTTAACTGGCTTAGAAAAACAGTGGCCTAGAGGAACGTTACACTTATTTGAGAATAAATAGTTTATAGGTATTAAACTAATATTATAGATTTTTAAAGGAATTTAATTCCGCAAATTTGTCTACTATGGCCGTGGTAACACGTCTAATACTTCAACTTTTGTATATAATAGATGATGCGTTTAATCGGGAACTGTTAAAACGTATTATGTGATCCAGTTAAATATGTTAATGATATGAAATATAATATTACGTATAAGAGTTTGTCCGACAGGTTTCTTTATGCTGGCTATCAATTATTATTTTGTACTTGCCGTAGTACTATGAAGTTTTCGCCATTCACGCGTGGTGATTCGGTAGGCGTAGGCCCAGCAAATCGTTCATCACCGTAATCCATAACATGTCAATGTTACCATACCTGAAACTGAAAAAAAAAATTAATGTTATGCGTTATATATATGCTGTGTTTAAAATGCGTTCATGGCCTAATACTATAAGTTTTGATGAACACGATGGAGTATCAGTTTTTTATCGGATCAGTTGAGATGTGCGCGAGTACATACTATACATTATATATTTAATAATATCACTATGAAGGTTAGAATGGATTCAATTTATTGTTTATTGATTGTCTAAAGAACAATAGACGATAACGACGACGTCTCATATGCATTATATTTACAGGTTATGAATCATAACTGCACACAATAGGTATTTAAAATACATTTAATTGGCAAGGTGTCCTGTAAATGCTACTCGTGTGTAAATTATTCAAGTGTAGTTGAAAATTGAAAGTTATTTTGAAAGCGGATTTTTTTTATCGGTATACCATAAATATAGTAGTTGCGTATTTATAACGGGCAACGGGCTTCCTTTATGGTGGTTAAAATAACTTGAATGCTTATGACAAATTACCAATCAATTACTTATTATTGTATGTAACTATGATGTACTCAGACGATTGGAAATAAATTGACGATGACGATTGTTGATTATATATGTATTATAACCGAAAAGAAGAACCAAATAATCTCCGAGGCATTTTTTTCTAGATCACGGAGGCCAACTTCTATACGTTCGTACTTGCATCAACAAGTAAAACGTTCGGACGTATAGGAAGATAAAAGATAAGAATTTACAATTTTGGATTTGGACAAACTCCTCGATTACCTGGTGCCATAGTAGATTTTTTACTTTTTCTAGTGGAGATATTAGAAGAATAAAGTTAAACCACATAAGCTGCGTAATTTCGAAGACTTAAAGACGGCCACTTGTAGAGAGGTGTGTTAACGAAGAACACACTAAAATCAGTAAAATCAGTACAACGAAGAAACATCAAGGCTATAATTGAAATCATATCAAGGAAGACGGATATGACATTACGTAGAGTAAATTGTATGTTTCCAGGAAAATGTTAGACGAGATGAAAAGATTTTTCAAAATATTGTTTTCATATTAAAAAAAAAAAAAAAAAAACTTAAACACTCATCGAAGCGACTCTATATAATAATAATGTACGTATTAACTGGACTACAAAAAACTCATAAATCGTAATAAATCAGTCATTATAAATGCATACATGTTCAAAGATAAGGGTCATTTAATAATGTTTATACCAAGTGTTCGTTTTAGCAATGTTTTTTCATTATAATTTTATCATGCGCACACGAGTGTACATATAGACCATTTATTAATGAATTTTATCATACGTGCTTGTGAGTATGTGTACACGGTCGCTAAATAGCCTTGAAGTGCTTTTACCTATATGTTTTAAATAATATTGGTCTTGCCAGTTCCATTAAACCACCGACGACAGAAAGTTTACCGAATTATAAACTTTTGTTCAAAGGATTTCTCGGTTACCTATATACTTATAAATGCACATGCATGGTTCACCGTGAACTAATTTCCAATAAAATACACTCGCGCGCACACACGCTTCCCGTTAATATAATTACACTATTGGAACGCCGCCGTCGTGTACTCGAAACGCGCACACTGTATATCCATATACGCCGCCGATGAGACGTGTAACTAAATCGAACGATACGTACTACTGGCGAATGTTCAAAACACCCCTTGAGTTATGCGGCAAGTGGTTTACATCCGAGAGCGCGTATCGATTGTCGTAGTACAGTACTCATAGATTTTATAATATCTACGTTTACGTTATCGTCGTTTCGCTATTGATATTTCTTGTGTTATCCGCTTTTTTCATTCATTCATCCGTATGGTATTGTCCAAATAGTAACACAACATTCGAAAAATACCAACGGTATATAAACTAAAGGTTTAGGTGACAATGATTGTGAAACATGACCGTTATAGCTATCAATAACTATAACAGTGCTCTGTGTAGGGTCTTCATGTTTAATTAAATAACCTTTACTCGGGTGCCTAAAGTGAATTTTTTTTTATTGAAAGTTATCAAAACTCTCATTTTCGTCATGCAGTTGGCTGCTGACATCGTCGGAGACACTGTGCTGTGCATCTGTGAACCAAAATCTGTTGTAACGTTGGTTCCTCGTTTCTGTCTACCGATTATTCCGAAATAATAACACTTTATGGCTGAAATATTGAAAATTATTATTTACGTTTTGTGGAGTAAAGTTTAAAAGAATCTCGTACATTTTAATCGTTTTTCATAAATATCACTGTCACATGGTCGATTTGATGCACGCATTTGGAAATTCGTGTATAGGGTGTTTTTGTTCCAATCGATTCATGTATAATCGCGTTGACAGCAATTACAGGTTTAGTATAAATATTATTTTGATAAAATTAATATATAAATTATACAAATGTGGGTATCAAATTGACAATCAGGGCTACTTTTCCGTTTGATTTATGGTTTTTTCGTGCATAAATATTAATTATAATAACTTATAATTCATAAAGTATAAAATAGTATGATGTGAACATGAAATAGAAATGCAAAATTGTCGTAAATTTTGAACAAACTTTCATCATAAGTCGATAAGATATTATAATAGATTATTTAGGTGGAAAACTATATAACGAGATGAACATTTGATTTATTTAACTAAAAGCATTGCAAGTCTTATTTTGTTTTTACGTTTCCGTGAATTTATAATATTCTTAAATATATAATTAATGTATATATAACAAATAAATTATGGTTTCATACATTAAGAAATCTTAAATGTAGTTTACAAAAAAAAGTAAGAGCCCAACGCAAATAATATTCATGTGCTGAATATTCCGAGGTTAATTGTGTAACAAAGAATATTGTTCAAAAATAAACTTTATTGTTTATGTAATAAAATAACCATAGTTTTGGGTAAAAAAAAAAAAAAAAAAACAGTGGAAATTATTACGATTTATTGCTTGCTTAACATTTAGGTATGTTTAACAATGTGAATTGTTTGCACTTTATGAGTGGGTGCTTTGATTAGGATTTACAAACGTCTGTAACAAATTATTACCACATGAACGTATATTTATAGCAAAACGGCAATTCGCTTCCGAACTGTTGCGGACGACTAACGTTTCAAAGATTGTAGTAAAAATATACAGGTATTAAAATATGGTATTTAATTTATTTTTTATTTAATACCATATTATACGTTGTACAAGAATTATACCGTATTGAACCTTGAAGTACCTTAAATATCGGAAATTTATCACAGATTATAAAACCATTGTTAATTATGAAATATAAATTATTTTAAAATGGGTTGGTAGAAAAAACAGATAAAAGGTCAGAAAACATTTAAAAAACACATAATACAATAATTATTTTAGACCTATTTCGTCAAACTAATATTTAGTAATGCTACCCATTTATGATGTACCATATGTATTGTATGTACGTAAAGACTAGCAATGATTTAAATTTAAATTATTTTAATAATAATTCATAATTAATTCATAAATTCATAATAATTTATAAGTCATTAGTAAATTATATTCTTAAAATATTAAATAAGTTTGGTTAGTAAATTTTGAGATAAATTATGATTTGAGTAACGTATCCACCAACTAGCATATAAAAATATCTATTAACATTTTATTTCCTTATTTTTTTACTTTTCGTAAGCACTAATTATTTAAATTTAGTATCAGAAATGTAGTAAAAAAAAAAAAAATGTATATAAACTATTTTATATTTAAAGTAGTTTATATACATTTTTTTTACATAAATAATTTTTTACATAGATACATATGGTTTGGTATATAGTAAACTTGTGGAACCGCTGGTTACCTCTGACCGACTGTTAAGGTTACGTTTCCATAGTATATAAGTATTAAGTAGAGTTTTCTATTTATTTCTATTTAAAAATTAAATAAATAAAAAACTCTACTTTAAATATAAAATATCTTTTTTTGAAATTTAATTTTTAAATAGAAATAAATAGAAAACTCTACTTAATATTCATATACTATGTAAACGTAACCTTAACAGTCAGTCAGAGGTAACCAGCGGCTCCACAAGTTTACTATATACCAAACCTTATGTATTTACCCTGATTTGAATATCGCAGTCAAAAGAGAGTGAGGTCGGCGGTAACCTTAAAATTGAATACTCCTGTTCTGTATTAATAATGATAATTTTCATTTACATACACTTGGTGGGCACTCGGATTTTAATACAATAACTAAGACGTATAATAAGGGCAAACACAACTAACCGAATTATAAATAACATCGATACACAATTCAAACGATTCGAGGAGTATTTGTAATAGTAATTACATAGACGATACCAAAACCGCGTTCAATGATACAAATATACAACTAATGAATTAAATCAAATGACACTGGATGAGGAGCGTGCAAATGCCTGTACTTTTGACGGTTTAGGGCCGTTTGGTTGCGCCTACGCGATAATGATGGCACGCGCGACAACCGCTAATACCGTTTGATGTTCCCGTGGACAGTTGCGTGTAAGCTGCTTGCCTTAAATATGACCGGCTTGTAACGTGTATTAGTATACAGTAACTGAACGTCGTTGGTGACAATTGGACGAACCAAGACTGAAACAAACACTTCAAAGGCTAGTACGCATGGAAAAAAACGTGCCCGGACGATTCGCAGGTCCGTACAGCACATGTTGGCGACGCACGGATTGAGGTCACCCAGGGCACCGATAGCAGGCCGGTCGGCATTTGAATTTCTATCGGACCGGTTTGATACAAATAAGTGCCTATAAACATGTTGAAAAAACAACAGTTTTCAATATTTTTACTACCACGAATTTCAGTTGGATTTATTTCACAAAATGGTAGTTTTTCATTCATTTTATAGTGATGGGTAGATCGACAATCGACTGTAATAAATAACACTGGCAAATGTTCGTGATATTAAACTTTAATTTTATGAAAATATTAAGCTATACAAACTAAATTTGTTAAAATTTCGAAGGAAGAAATAAACCACCTATGTACATATCTGTGTGCGGCA